TGCATAAACAGAAGGATAGACTCAAGATCAAATGAAGTGTTAATACCACTTGGTAAGGCCACACTTGGGATGCTGCATCCAGTTTTGGTCACCACAATGTAAAAAAACAAAAGATGTGGAGACTCTAGAAAGAGTGCAGAGAAGAGCAACAAAGATGATTAGGGGACTGGAGGCTAAAACATATGAAGAACAATTGCTAGGATTGGGTATGTTTAGTTTGATGAAAAGAAGGACTAGGGGAGACATGATAACAGTGTTCCGATATCTCAGGGGCTGCCACAAAGAAGAGGGAGTCTATTCTCCAAAGCAGGACAAGAAGCAACGGGTGGAAACTAATCAAGGAGAGAAGCAATTTAGAACTAAGGAGAAATTTCCTGACAGTTAGAACAATTAATCAGTGGAATGACTTGCCTCCAGAAGTTGTGAATGCTCCAACACTGGAAGTTTTTAAGAAGAGGCTGGACAACCACTTATCTGAAATAGCGTAGGGTTTCCTGCTTGAGCAAGGGGTTGGTCTAGAAGATCTCCAAGTTTCCTCCCAATGCTGTTACTCTGTTACTTATCTTCATCTATTCCTCTTTCTATTTCCCCCTTCTTTCTTTCTCCATCTACCTCTGCCTCCAACTCCTCCATCTCCATCCATCCATCCATCATCTATCCTTAAATGTATATGCCACTATTTCTGTAGTCTCCAAGCAGCTTACTGGATATTGTACAGATGGATGAAAATTAATAGAAAAGTAACATGATACTTTCTGTTACAGTTTGAATTCCCAGGCCACTATCCTATTTCCTATGAGTATATCCCTTTTATTAATCTATTACACAATTGCACCTCTAGATTAAGGCAGGATGAGAAGCAATGGATATAAACCAATCAAGGAGAGAAGAAACCTAGAACTAAGGAGAAATTTCCTGACAGTTTGAACAATTGGAACAATTGCCTCTAGAGGTTGTGAATGCTGCAACACTGGAAGTTTTTAAGAAAACAATGATTTCTCTGAAATGTTATAGACTTCCCTGCCTAAGCAGGGGGTTGGACTAGAAGACCTCCAAGGTCCCTTCCAATTGTCTTATTCTATTCTATTCTAACTGTGTGTGAGGAGAACCGAGAGCATTTTTATTTATGAAACTGATTTGAAGCCAAGTAAGCTATAGTCAGCTTGCAGAAGTATATAGTAACTATGGAAACAAAATCAGAATAAAAATAATTGAAATTGTCAGAAGAGGTTAAAGGCTAATATTATAGAAATGGGGAAACAGAAATACAGAATGTAGAAGTATATGAGACTCATCAGAAATTTGATGTGATCCTTGGGGTCAGAAATGTCTCGGTTTCTGTCTCAGACCATTCTATGGGTCAAACATACTTCTGTGATGTTTTCCTGAGGAATTTCTTGGGATCATTTCTGTCCTTTCAATAGTAGCCATCAATGCTGATCATGTTTGAATGAAAGGACCGGTCGTAACCTTTCTGGAGCAGTTTGCACAGCGAGACAGTTTTTTCTGGGATGCTTCAGAAATTATTTGAACTAACTTCACTTTGTCGTCATAACCTTGACCATTATCAGTTAATTAGAGAGCTATGCTGTACTGTAAGTTAGTCTTCCTTAGACAGCATCTCATTATTTCAGACAATTAGTTCCAATGCTTGGTGGAAGCTGTCCTATCTCTGAAGAGGACAAATTTATTTCCTGAAATGACTCTTCTAATTTCCTTCCACTGGGGAAGGTTGAAATAAGCTTCAGATATCGGGCCAAGAAGATAAACCATTGAGAGCCATGTATCTCCTGTACTGGAGCCATATTCCAGAAGACTTGCTCATATGCAGCCTAGGTTTGCAATGACTGCAAATATAGAGGAGAAACCAAAGAGTGTCATTGTTTGTTGATTTTTTTGGTCATCAACTGGAAGACCATGTTAAGATACCTTTTCTGGTTTTGAACTTAGGGAAGGTTCAAAAAGGTTGAAACAAACCTTTGTTGTTGTTGTTAGTTGTGAAGTCATGTCCGACCCTTTGTGACCCCATGGACAATGTTCTCACAGGCCTTCCTGTCCTCTACCATCCTCTGGAATCCATTTAACCTCACGCCTTCTGCTTCAGTGACTCCATCCAGCCACATCATTCTCTGTTGTCCCCTTCTTCTTTTGCCCTCAGTCATTCCCAGCATGAGGCTCTTCTCCAG